TAAAGGGTGCAATATATTTCATTATCTCATTGAAGGACTGTTGTTAGGTTTTCTCCCAAACTTTCACTCTTAAAATGCAGAGAAAATTGTATAGCTGAATGTGGGACAAACTACAAGAGGTAAAATTGCTGAGTTTAAGTGAAATGAAAATTCTGATACATGTCTGTATAACCAAGGTGATTCTGCAACCTTCATATTTGGAAAAATGAGAAATTAAACCCCATTTGATTCAAATGTATGATATGTCAAGATCATTGTATTGTGATGCGCAACTAATAAAAAAAAGAAAGTGCCTTATTAAAAGTTGTCTCAACTTCATAATATCAATATAAAATTGGTATTTCATTGTTCTAATTTCTATCCCTTTTTGTTAAGCATATTTTCCCTAATTTATTAGACATTTTAGTTTTCTTCAGTGAATTTCCTTTATATATTCTTTGCTCATTTCCTACCATATGGAATTGTTTTTCTTTTTTCTTTTGAGGAGCTCATTAAATTTTAGAGATATTAACAATTGTATACAGCAAACATGTCTTCCCAGTACCTTGAGAAAGAATTGGATATCTGTAAAGTCCTTTTCGTTTTGTGCATGGTCTGTACCCTTTATTGACCTCTTCCTTTGTATTTACCTTCTTAGCTAGTATACTTGCTGCCTTATTTGTATCACCACTAAACTAGAAGAGAGTAAGGGACATGAAATTAAATATTTGGACAGAGCTCATGTCATGTTGAGTTTAGTTAGAAGGGAGATGGATACGCTTCACTTAATGTGTATAGAGGATTATGGCAGAACATCCTGTCTCTTCCATTTTTTCATGAAGTAACTTTTCCTTCAGAACGCTGAATAATGACTGACTATATACCAAAATATAGTCACTGAAAATATAAAACTCACTGACATACAAACTGATGTGATATAAAAAAAACGCAGTTAGTTATTTGGATGGTCTAATGATCAATTATTTCAATAACTGGCCGTGTACTTTATTTTTTTAATTCAGATATTTGGCAGTCTATGACCATGAATTTTTAATGACTAGGAACAAAAATATTAGCATATGTAGACAATTAAAAATGAAATGAATGGCTACAGAGCTAGAAGTTGAATTAATATCAGTTCACATTTAAAAATTAATATGCATTCTTGGCTAAATATGTATGTATAAATACATATGTACATACACACATATATTACTATTCAAATGTATGATCAATTTTCAAATGCTTAAGTACTTATATGACATTGTGAACTAGAATACTTTCTTTAAGCAGATACTGTGCTGATTTTTTTTTTTCATATTATGAAGACAAAAGCTGTAAAGAGTTCTCGTTAATTCACATGAAAGGCCTGAGGCTGAAACTTAGGTCAAAATAATACAATCTTAGGGAAAGAAAAACAATCTAGAAATGTCAGATTTTTTCAGGAAGGCATTTGGATTGCCAGCTCTTGCAGACGTGTAGAGGAACGAGAAGTAAAAGTTTAATAATATTGTAGAAAACGATCAATTTCTATGCTAATTCCCCCCATCTTTCCCAAATGAAAGATTACCCCTGTTTTTCTCACATCTTTTCTTAATATTTTAATTTATTTTATTCAAATTAAATTGATAGTCTTTCTTCTTGTTGAACTAACTTCAATAAGAATGGCATATATTTTATGGTTTGACTATATTCATAAATAACCTTTGGAAATCCTGTTTGAGGTAATCATTGAGACTGGGAAATTTAACATTTTCTTTTTTTTAATCTTCAAATAGTTAGAGAAAATTTCTATAAGCCTATTCCTTTATTTTTTTTTTTGTAATCCTAAAAATAAAGTAAGTTTACCATTGTTAATCTAGAGAGTACATCACCTTATAGGTTCTATATTTTTTGGTGGGGGGTACTGCAGATCAAACTCAGGGCTTCTTGCATGCCAGGTAAGCACTCTACTACTAAGCCACACCCATGGGCCCAGTTCAGATATTAAAAATACCTATTTCTGGAGATAATTGCTATATTTTAATGGGTGACTCCTATTTTCTGAGAAAATGATGTACATATTATTAGGCTTCCTTGTTGTGTTTGCTCTTACATAATCTTAAAGAAAGCATTTTTGTATTAGTTAACTATTGAGTTTAAGTTTAGGTGAGATAGATTCTATTACTTTAAACTTATAGTTTATATCTTTAATGTCTCTTGCTCTTGGCAAGTTCTAATTTAGAAAGGCAGGAAATACTATCTTGATACGCAAAAAATAAAAAATAAAAAGAATATGACAGCCAAGACAATCGGTATTTATGCAAATGGAAAATATTTGCCATCCAAAACCATCAATATTTATGAAGTTTTAAGAAAATGTAATAAGACTACATACAAATTAAAATCCATTGCATCTACTTGAATTCATAGGGTACATTTTTATCTTGTTGCTTTCCTTTTACTAAGAAAATACTTTTAAAATAATTTAAACTATCATGGTAAAATTTATCATCTTACATGTAGTAAGATAAACTTATAATGTATTGGAAATTTAAGAAATGATCCTGGTTATACTTCATCATGATAAACATTTATTATCCTTCTATCTCTTCTGTATATGGGACATCTGCTTTTGTTTTATTAGCTAGTCTTAGAAATAGAGCAAGTATTGAGACTTAGTCTGTTTCCTTAAGAAAAATCCTGGTCACAGGAGTTTTCAGTGGTCTTTGAAATGCTGTTCATTTATTTTGATTGTACTTCACGTTTGGGGCACAAGTGACTAATTAGTGGCATTTAATAGTAAAGCAAAAATAACATCTTTTAATGTTATTTAACAGAAAGAATTAGTCTTGCTTTAATTTTAATCCAGTTTCATTTCCCCTATAAAAAATAAGAGAAAGTTTGTTTAAAGTAGCAAGAGGAAGCAGGAGTAACCGTTTTATACTGCTTTATGGACCAAAAAAAAAAAAAAAGGCAGAAAATTTAACTAATGTACCTTGTATATTCAACATCTGTTTATTAGGGACACCAAGATTACTACTTTGTTAACTAATTTATTGATTAGTTAAAGTTCATTTGTTGTCCACTTTTGTACTAAAGTTTTCATCTGAAAACAAAACTCTATTCTGATGCGATAGGAACAGGTTAATCTTGCATGGCATCAAATTAAATGTGACTAGTTTTTAGTGTCTGATTTAGCAATTGACATAACTGTAGATATTTCAGGCTTTGGTACAGTGTAGCTAGGATGATGTACTAGAGGCATGTATAAAAATTGTATTATAAATACATGGTGAAGATGCTGTAATTCAATGAACATACTGGGTATTTTAGACAAGTTTTTAACTATAATTGTGTTTACTTAAAAGTGAGACAAAGTTAACCAGAGCCACCTAGGGAAGAAAAGATCCTTACGGATCTGTTTAGACAGTTGCTTCTAGAAAAAGTGAACAGTCTTCAGTCAAAGACTTGTCAATCCTATTTTTAAAGATTGATTAGGAAGCTGAGTTTTTCTTCTTTTTATCCTTGGAGAAAATGAAAAATAACAAGTCCTCTTCTACTTGAGACTAACCATTCATATACTTTATGACAGTTAGGTCTCCCCTGAGCTTTCCCTTCTCCAGGACAAATTATGCTAACTCCTTCAGCCAATCCTCATAGGTCCTATTTTTCAACCATTAAATCATCTTATTGTTCTTTCCTATGGCTTTTCCAGTTTCTTCAAAATCTTTTTAAAGATATAAAGTCTTAAATTTGATATTTTTGCATGTGTCAGATGGATTAGAACTACAGGAAGATATTTATTTCAATCCTCTAAATCAGAGAGATGGTCATCCTGACAAGTCAGTTGGATAAGAAGAAAGAGAAGTCAGGTGAGTACTTTAATATTTTAACATAATGGATGTATGCGATCAGAGACAGTCAAATTCATGTGTGTAAAAAATGTAAGAAGGGCTCATTGTAAGTCCTTTGAGAAGGTACCAAAACACAAAATATATTATAAAAACAACGAGAGCACTTTTGTTTTGTCTTTAAATAACCTGATGCTACTTTTCACTAATTATCCTTCCAAAAAGGGAAAGATTAGTAGATGAGTTTACAAAATTCCAAATTTAGAACAAAATAATGTATCATAGAGGAAGATGACCACTGTTACTTCAAGAAAGGGTATAGGGATTCAGCATTAGGTTAAGTGACCTCAGCTTAATTAAGGGCTGGAGCCATTTTTTTCCCCAAGGAAAGCGGCATTTGTGGAATGTGGCTGAATGATGTATTATTCTTTTTTTTTTTTTTTGATAGAACATGGTCACTAGAAAGAGCTTGCTCTAGGCTTTGTTGATATGCCATCTCGCTGTCCCAGGTTTCTTGTACTGCACTGTCTCCTCTGCAGCAGCATGTGACTTGGGGTGAATAGGATATCAGAGCTGTTTCAACCTTTCCATCCCATGAGGTACATAAATGAATCCATAACCTTATCAATAAAGCAACTCCTCCTCCATGACAATTTTCATAGGAACCAGGCTCTACTCTAATCAAAACCTAGAAAAAATATCCCTAAACTATTGAGTCTTACTTAAATTTAAGTACACGGATAATTGACTTTGTATTTCTGTGATATTTTGAATTTAAACCTGATGTCTTAATTTATGCCCAAAGCAAAATACCTGACATTCACCCTGCTCTCTCTTCCGGGATGCACTGTGCACTATGATATTGGGGGAACTGCTCCATAAGCCCCACAAGAGAGAAAAATGCAATCACTATAAAAAGATGCTACTGTGTCCTTTCCAATAGCCTACTTATAAATCAACAATAAGCAATAGGATCACAACCAAGCCAGCTTACAAGAGCTTTAATTCCCCAGATGAAAACCCATTGCTGGTTTATTTTCATTTCTAGGCTTTAGAAAAATATAAATTGGCTATGCCCATATTGAAAAGCCACAGGCAGATCTTAGAGGGCTCTTGCACTGAATGGTGTGCAGTAGTGAAATATTTTGCACTAACCCCTCTTTGAAAGCTAATGCAGTGTGGTCTTACCATTTTTGCAGACAGGACAACATTGTTCTGGTTCATAGACTGGGTTGACACACTCAGGAACTGCGCAGTCTGCTACAACACAGTGAACTTCATTGCTGGGCTCACAGCGACACCATTCACATGGAGAGGGCTAGGAACAAATCTAAAATTAGCCCCTTTTCTCCTATAACTTAATGCTTGCACATTCATATGCTGTCAGAAGACAAAAACATCAGTGTTTATATTGGCTTTACTGAATTAACTCCATTTACCATGTGTATGATCATTCTCCCCCAATGGAAGTTCATTTGAACATCCAAGCCAAGGTGGGCTGCCATGCACAGCTCAGATTGCCGTGAATAACTAGAGCACTCATGGATTGACTTTTCTTATATCTTTGTCCCTATGTTTCCAGAGAAATGTTTGGACATCTAATATGTCATCTTGTGGTCTGGTTTCCAGATGCACGGATTGCTTTGCCGTCCTCTGGCAAATAAGAATGATATTAGAACATATGTAATAGTTCTTGCCATTTGTCATTTTTTTTCCTTCCTGAGAAAGAGGAGAATTACTTGGAAACAAGAAAATGGTAAGCACACATCCTTATCCTTTGTAAAAACTCTTTTTCAAGCCAACCTAGTCTCTGAATGGCATTTTTTCAATGTGAATTTTAGAGGAGATTGCATTTGGGATCCAAACATACAGAATACAGACACTGATTTTTGAAAGATTTAGTGAATGTCTTTCATCTTGCCTGCTTGCTTTTATGAATGAACTAAAATCGATTGACCTAAAAAACCACTATCTAAGTCAAGATTCTGAGACCGGAATTGAAAAGTGATTAATTAAGAGAAAAAAAATATTAATGGGCTGAAAAGGAAATTTTATCTTTACTTACCAACCAAGAGTGAGTTGGAGATTTTTTTTTGTTTCCTTTCTAGAAACTGCCTATATCACAAATAATAAAGCAGTGGAAAGCCTGTTAGTTTTACATACCGTACAAGTTCTAGCTCTATTTTCTCATGAAACTGAGGTTTAGATTTCTAGAATGAAAACTTGGAGGTCTAAGAAGTTATACATGCACATACTTCTCAATCAAGCTATTTGGTCTTAGAAAATTCTGCCCCCTACCCAATGCCACAGTTCTTCACACATAAATGTGTTAATGAACCCCCTTTCTTTGTTTCTGTGGCTACTGCCCATGATCCCTGTCAGTTCTTATATTTTCCTGGACCTGAGAATTTGGGTCATATTGGTGCTCTCTGACCCAGACAGTCTGAGGGAGTGAAAACATTTCGATTAATTATTTAAAAATTCATTTCATCTTTGCTTTGTGCTTGAAGAATGAAAATCTAACTTTAATTATTTTGCTATCAAATTTATTCTGAACAAAATAATTAGCCATACAATCCATTATAAAGTAATGCTGTTTCTTAATCCAACAACAAGTTTGTTGAAGGGCACAATTATGCTCTCCACTATGTGGTGAGTTGTAAATAAGCATTTTCGGAGGAATCTATTATGGTATCCCAAGGGCTAGGGTTTTCTTGAAGCTCCACTTGATCCTACAGCATAGTAGTTAACAGAGATGGAGAGTGGGGCTCCTTTATTGCCCCATAGTTTGCAAGCTCCATTAAGATAACTAAGGTCCCCAAGGACACTAATCAGAAGGCGTCTCCCTCTCCTTGTCAATGCAAAGGAGTGCTTTCAGGAAGCACAGCAAAGACAGACTATATTTATTTTGAGAAATATGCTGAGGAAGGACTAAGGTCAAAAGGTGATTTTTAAAGGGGATTTTGAGTAATAAAAAACATTAAAAAATCCCTCTAATTATTGGTAGCTTCTAATCATGCCCTGAACTTGGTTTTATTTATATTTTGTGGTTTGTTTGTTTCTCCCCTAGAATCTCATGTTATTTCCTCTTTTCATTAATTAAAAAAAAAAACAAACATCTTTACCCAGGTATGGTGGCGCTTGCTATTAATCCATCAACTCGGGAGGATGAGGCAGGAGGATTGCAAGTTTGAGGCCAGCCTCAGCAACTTAGGCCCTAAGCAACTTAGCAAGACCCTGTATCAAAATTAAAAAATATTAAAAAAGGATTGAAGATATACCTCATTGGTAAAGCACCCTTGGTTCAATTCCCAGTTGCCAATAAATAAATATAAAAACTCTGTATTTCAATTTATTTCTTCACATCTTAAGCCTCCATGAATCTCTGCTCCAACTCTGAAAACTCCATGAAAGTTAATCCATTGATGCCCATGCTAAAGTCCTTTTCCATCCTCACCTGCCAAGCCTCTCTGCTTTCATAGCTTACTAGTTCTGACCCTATTGTCATTATCTTTCTCAATTTGACTTTCCTTGTTGCCCTCGCCTTCCCTTCCAATTTTAAAAAGATATTGCTTAAGTAGCAGGAAGTTACTAGGAATGAGCAGTAGTATGCCACTTTGACATTAAGTTCAGACTTTTAAAATCCTTCCCACCTTATGGTGTAAAATTCTGAATGGTTTGGTGCTTTGGATAAATCTTTATATCTTTAGAACTGAGCTCGTTACACATTTCCTTTTATTGGGTTCTTCAATGTGAAAACTATAGATTAAACCTGAAAAAGTTCCTATAAAAATCAAAGATTAAAGAATAAAACTATCTTTAGAGGAATAGAGTGTTAGAATCTGTAGTTAGAAAAAAATTATTCTTATTAGTCTTTTTTTTTTTTTTTAGAAAAGCATGTGATATTATGACTAAGACATGACTTTTGTCACCCAGATATTTGGTAAGTCAGGTGATCAAATGATACCATTATAAAATTTTATACAAGCAAAGCAAAATCTTCTATGAAATCTTAGGGAACACTTTATTTCTATGTAATCTTTTGAAACTAAAGTAACATTTACTATATATACCTTGCCATAAATTTTAGTTGAAATTGTGATTAAAGATCAAAAGTTTTAGTGTATATATTTGATGATTTGAATACTACATACGTGTTATAAATCTGTTCTACCTCCATCTCAGTGTTTTTGAATATCTAATGAGGAACTACATTTAAGCAGAGACTGTTTTACCTGTAATTCCCATTGCTGAATACATCCTTGTATGACAAATGGCATCATAGATGTCTCTAGATTACAAAGGAGTTTCCTGACATATATATTACTAGAGATGAATATGAAGGAATCAAGAGCAATATGAGACTCTCAAATATTGGTTTGGGTGACTAATACTCAAACTTTCCCTGTTGGCATTTGGGAAAACAGCAATACACATTGGTTTCAAGACAGTTAACTTCTGAAGATCTTCTAGCTGAAATCTTAGTCATTGTGATTTTTTTGAGTTTTTGGAGAATTGGAGGGGAGATACCAGAATCTTGGAAACAATGAAATGCTCCAGGAGTTATTAAAATGTAGAAGCAGCCTGTGAACTAATAACTTGGGTTACTGGAGTAGTTGAATAATATCAGAAAAATTGTCAAATATATTCTTTTTGACAATTTAGAAGCTACTGTGGGTATCACTGAAGGTCAAATTAGGATTAATAAAAGATGTTACGCTGACTGGTTGCATGACATTTTCCACATGCTTATAGAAATGGGAACTTATTTTGTACTCTGAATACACCAGGATTTATTTATCCACAACTGAGGAGAGCCTGAATATTTGTTCCATGTGACATTCATAAAGGTATTGTGAATTACTTGGTGGCTGTTACTGGCATTGTTCAGACAGTACCCAGAAGAAAAAGGCCATTGTCTACAAGGTGTGTTTAGTGACCAGAAACATTGCAATACTATTTGAATTTGATAAAGGCTAAGATTACAATATTGTTATAAATTCAGGGTTCTCAATTTGTGAAATTAGAAAAAAAATGCTTCATTTAGTTGACTCTATGTGACTGTGCTATCATCGTAAAAACAAGCATTCTAATCTCAGGTGCTTTACTGATTAGCTATAAATGTTGGGGAAACTATATAATCTTCCTTTGCCTTAATTTCTTATTCCATAAAATGGGAGTAAAAAGTAGTAAGCAACCTCACAGAATTATTATGAGGCACATAAAAATGATCATAATATTATTCACTTGTATACTTAGTCACTGGTGGCTTTTTGAAAGACATCTAAAAAGTAGAAAACTGAAAGTATAAGATTATATTTTAAAGCAATATTTATGATTTGCTCTTTGTTTTTACTCAAAATGAAATCTCGTTATGGAAGAGGTTGCAATAAGGTTTTCCAGGATTTGGATTGGTGGGAGGATTTTTGAGCTGATAGAATTAATCATGTGAGAAACACACTGAAAAATAAAAAAGCCTCAAATAAAGAGTAGCTGTGAATGGTTAAAGTGTTTATTGTAAATCATTAATGAAAAGGAAGGGAGGAAGGAAAGAAAGAAAGAAGAAAGAGAGAAAGGAAGGGAGGGAGAGAGAAAAAAGGAAAAAGAAAGGCCCCAAATTTATTTCCTTTTCCTGCAGTGTTGTCATTCAAGAATCAACTCAAATGCCACATTCCTGGGAGGTTTTCCTGGACCACCCAGGTAATCCAGTCCCTCCATCATCTCTGCACATCCTGCTATCCATTCAGAAACTATCTTCTCTGTTCCTGGAATTATTATTGCTAATTTCTTCTTAGTTTTTATTTGCTCTTGTCTGCTATCCCTATAGATTCGCAACTACTTATTGATATAATGATACATGTATATATATATGTGTGTGTGTGTGTGTGTGTGTGAGTGAGTGTGTGGGTGTGTGTGTGAATATATATATATATATATATATATATATATTCACACACACATACAAATGATATATTGTTCATTGCTACATCTTTTGCACTTAGAAGTCATCTTAGCACATGATAGGAATGCAATAAGTATTTGTTAACTCAAAGACATACTCATTTATGTAGAATCTGTTTTCATATTTGTGAAGTCACACCTTTAGGCAGTTTCATCTATGTTCATCAGGCATGAAAAGGATGAGATCTTTGTATTATATTTAATTTATTAGGTGTGTTTAGTGACCAGAAACATTGCAGTACCATTTAAATTTGATGAAGGCTAAGATGACAGTGTTTGTTATAAATTCAGGGTTCTCAATTGTGAAATTAGAAGAAAATATTGTAGAGGCTAATTTGGGGAAACAGATTTCTGACT